GAAGGTAAACCTCTGAAAGGCTCTGGGCTTAACTTCTCTCAGTGTGTATATGTTTTTGCTTCTTTATTTTATAACTACAAGACAGTTTCTAGATAACACATTAGCAAAGAATTTCCCCTTCCCAGGAATACAATGATAGCCATGTAGCCTCTCAGTAGGAAACTTTAAATATCACTCACATTTTACAGAAAGTGAGATTAGGGCTGCGATGAACCTTAGGCATTGGTGCCAATTATCTCCACCCAAAAACTGTATTGCTGTCTTGAAATTATGGAGAACATGAGTATTTGGACTGTGGATCATTTTATTTTCAGTGTCCACTCCACTGATAAGCAACATTTTGAATCATGACGGTAACTAAAATAAAGGTTTTTGTCGAGTTTTTCCTATCTCCTTCCTTAAAATAAAAATCACCTATCAGCCAGAAAGCAAACATCTACTTTAAAGAATTTGAAACACTAAATCATTTTATTGGTGGAAGGGATGGGCCTTAGGGACTCTTATTCCAAGCAAGGATCTATACTTGCTTTTCAGTTGTTTTCCTCTCTTTTGTGATGTAGGAAGCCATTATCTCTGCCCCTGGGAAAGCAGGATTTAAGCGCTTTACTAGGGTAAACATAGCTTGTTAGCAGTAGTTCTTCAGGGTTTGGAATTTGGAATTGAGGCTCTGGCTGCCCCAGAAAATGGTGATGAACTTGGTGTTGGCTTTTCCATACAACTATTTTCCCCTTTTACCAACCCAGACTCCTCACACTCTAGATGCTCTTCCACTAATCACCCACGTCAGTACCAAGGAAATAGGGCAGAAGGAAGGCACAAGCCATTTCTTTTGTATTTCATTGTCCAATGGGATAGATCACCATTTCCTAAAATACATTCCTCAGAACTTCAGTCAGAATAGATGCTTCAAGAAAGACAGGATTCGGGATTTTTTTTAAAAGACATCAGTTATATTTAACATCTTGTATTCAAATGCATAGCACATGGTAGCAATATAAATGGCTCTGAGAACTTCTGCAATTAACACCATTTTAAAAGTTCGTTTTACCTAATATATTTCAATCTTGACCACAGAATACCTTTATTTTTCTTAAAATATAACAGTGACTCAGAGTATTAGTATTTTTTGGCATGTGCTTAGGAAAATGTTTGTGGATGATTTAAATCACTGGTTTTCAACAGGGAAAAAAGGTAGTTCTGACCTCCAGGGAACATTTGGAAAATTTTGAGACATTTTTGGTTGTTAAAATGGGGGGTGTTTCTGGCATGTATTGGGTAGAAACTAGGTATGATGCTGAACAACTTAGAATGCACAGGACATCCGCACTACTACTTACCCATGATGAAGAATGATCTGGCCCAATGTCAACAGTGCCTCAGTTGAGAACCCCTTTCTTAGATACAGCCTGCTCAGATGTTTGACTGGGAACCTGTAGGCTGGCAATTGGTACTTTGCATGCACCAGAACTTGTAATTTTGGCCATGTAAAACCACGTATTCTTTACTTAAAAGCTATTGATAACACTGTCTCCAATTTGAGCTATGAAAATTTGAATACTTTGACATTATTTGGATGAACTACTGAAAAGCTGTTAGGTATTTGTTATATGAGTCATTTCTCCTCATAGTTTCTTATAAGCTTTCTATGATATATGAATTAAGTATTATATAATGATCCAGCTATGTAAGTATTAAAGAAAACTAAGCTTATATATCTGTACATGTTATACAAATGTAGTACTTTAGACATTGTTTCACACAATCTCAATGTTCAGTAATCTTAAATACTAGCTATACTGATACCTTCTTTCTACAGATAAACTCCTTCACAGATATATTACCCAATAGTTTGCCAGCTCAGGTCAAGAGTCCAAGTCTCCAAAACCTCCAGGCCAGTCTCTTTTCATTTCTGTAGTACTTTGCTGTTCCTATTTTTCATACATAATTTCACATACGTGACATGAAAAATTAACACCATAAATATTCATCAATTCAATTTGTATTTTCTAGCTATGCTCTTAATTCAAGGCTGCAAACGGATATTTCTATCAAGTGATAAGAGAAAGACATTCTCAGCAGTAGTATTCTTACAGTCTTTCTTGATAGTCACAGATATATTCAGCCAAATCAGAAAGTAACAAATGATATAAAAGTCATTAACTACAAAAGTACTTTTATCCTAATCTTAATCTACCGTATTAAAGAAAACGTAAAGAAATTTATGCTCATACTTCAACAACTAGTAAACAAGCTGTCACTGTGTAGGTTTGTTTTTTTAATCACCAAGCAGAGAGATGCAGAGCGATTTAGCCTACCCAGACTTGTACTTAAGTCTTAGACTAGGTTTAAATCTAGCTCCACCCTCGTCAGATCAATTCAGAGGTGGTTTTTCCTGTTGTGTCAAAAAAAAAAAAAAAAAGTTGAGCTGAATGAATGCTCATTGCTAGACAGCTATATTTGAACTTTACAAATTCCTTTGCAATTTGAAAACCCAGAAACAGCTTATAGGTCTATTTCAGTAGAATACTAAACAGGACTCCAAAATAACTGGTTATCTTGAGAGTATGATTACAACAATTAATTTGTGTCACAGCAGATGGGTATGCTGTAAGAAATTACTATAACCTATTAAACATTAGTAGCCCCTTCTATGAAAATAAGACTTAATTCTTGTATTCTGTCTTCTACCACATGTCCAGTTCTCTTATCATTAAGCAAGTGGCAATAACAATATGACGTGGGTCTAATTATGCTTTTGATCAATCTCCAAAGATCATGGCCATAAATTAATGCTGAGTGCAGTTATTGCTGAAGATCTAAATATTCAGAATTTATCTTTTAAGTTGTAAGTTAGCTCAAGTATAAACAGAAGGCCATCAGTTAATATAGTAGCAATGACAAGTAGCCCACTCCATGAAATTAGTAGAAGCTACAAATCAGAGGCCTAATAAAATCAGGAGTTTATACTAAGTTGCAGGAATATTTAACTTCAGACAATGCAGTTGTACTTGTGTATAGGACATGTTATACCCATGATTCTCTGCACATCCTAGATTCTACCCTAACTCAAGAAAGCACTTCAAATTTTATCATAACCAGAAAGAATTTCCCACACTGTTTACTGTCATTCACATCTTTCACCAAAAATGATTTATCTACAATTACAGTTATAATATTGTAATAACCATCAGAAAGCCTATCACTTCAAGTCAGTCAAGATGTGTTTGCAAAATACATTCAAGTATAATTTCACAAATCAATAAATAGTATATAAATCTGCTATTATTGGTTTTCATTTGCTTTTCAATTACCCATTTCCATTTTCTCACTGGTAGTTATTCTGACTATTCAAATGTTATTATTGGTCTTTATTGTTATTCAAATGCAGCTTTTTTATCAGATCCTCTGACATGGTATATAAGCCTTTGCTTCTTCACCAGCAGTAACTCTATTTCTGAAGGAAAATGGAAGTGATTGCACACAAAATTATGAGCTTTTACTTTATATTAGGTTTAAGTCTGTGCCTCAAAAGGGATTTTAATTTAATCATATTGAAGAAAACCAAAGAAGTTTTATTAGCTACCTTAAAAGAGTAGGAAAATAACCTTTTCCATGCAGGTTTTTTGGCTCAAAGACCCATGAAATCATTACTCCCCAGTGATGTGTATAAGATACACTTAGTAACCAAATTAAACTCTAATTTCTATCTGATGGTATGAATACACTGTTGTTGGTTTTGGTAATACAATATACTGGTTAGCAAAAGAACTATATCAACACCAGGTTATACATATGAAAAACAAGTCTCACAAATATTGCATCAAGTTATATTACCTGGTGTGTCTGTTATTGGCAGACTTAAAAACTGTACACTCTTATTGTCTCCTACCAGCAGTTATTCTATGTACAGATACAGAATATTGTCTGTAACCACAGATATGTTCTTTAGTAGAAAAACTAACATAAAAGAAAAAATGAAAATATCAGGCATTTTACCCAAACTAAAATTCTTCAGGGAAGATAAATTTCAACATTACTAGGATTTGTTACGAGGGTTCATGAAGCAGAGGCAGCATAGCCTAGTGCAGAGACCAATGCTGATGGATTTAAAGGAGGTTGGGTAAGAAAACTACAGAGTTAGCAAATATTTACCTGCCATCTTTGTGTACAGAGAAAGCATTCTCCTCCATGGTGTGAGAAGGTAAAAAAGGACTTTAGAGGCTTCCTGACCCTTGGGAGACCAAGCTGATTATAGTAAACAATTCTGGTACAATGTGAGACATCTTGTAATTAAGCACTAGCATATTTATTCCTGATAATATAAACTATAGGAGTGTAGAAAAAAGAATCCAGATTCCGTAGCAGCACCTATGAAGAACATGGCCACATGAACTCCAAAGATCAAGATAATATCACAACCATCTTTAGCAGTCTCAATTCCCAGGGGAATAAATACATTTGGAATATCACTAATAAGACATTAACCTCTCCTTCCAATGTACCTGCACAGATGCTTTAAGACAGCTTTCCTTTTCTAGAATTAGAACTCCCCATGTGGAACAAAAATTAAACATGGGAGACCTAGATAATGGCCTTCAAATATTCTCCTTTGATATGAAGAGAAGCAGAAAGTGTAAGCAAAAGCATTCAAACTTTTAATCACAGAAGCAATCTAAGCTGGCAAGGGTCAGAATTTGGGCTCTAGTTTCTAAAATATAAGTTTGCTATGAGGCTTTGGTTAAATTAATTCCTTGACCTTGAAAAGTGTCACAATTTCCACCATCCTCCCAACTCTGGCAGGTCCTTAACTCAACGACAACTTTTGACACTTTTGCTTTAATTAAAGGAATGGAATTCTCTAGGTAGCCTCTGGTGATGTTTTGCCCCCAAAGGTGCCTTCGATGCCAAGTGGAAAAAGACCATTTGCCAACTCCTCGCTTCTGTGGTCATGAGCAAATCTATAGCAATTGCTTTATGTTAAAGGCGTGGATTTAACTCACCTCCACAAACTTCTATGTTGCTCCTCCAGTTGACTTAGCAGATGCTCAATGTATTTATTGGAGTCCATGTATTCCTGCACATATAGACACACAAAGACAAATGAAAACCTCATCACAATTGGCACCAGAATTCTGAGACTGTATAACATTTTTGACAAGATAATCCTTTGGTCCCTCCCATTTCTACGAGTTGATGCTTCTGTGACTTACATGCATAGTTAAGGGGGGATTGATAGTATTTCCCCCACATCTTGTGATCATTCTGGCAACAAAGAACTGAAGAGAACTGGAGCTCAGAATCCACATAAAAATCCTCTTATTCACAGAAAAAAAAAAAAAGAACAGATTTCAGTCTTCCACACTGTGATCTCTCTTCTCCTATATTTAAGTAGGTGAGCCAGCATGGACTATTGACTTTCAAAGAATAAAACAGACAACGCAAGTCTGGATTACCCTGGTTTTATGAATCTCTTCGTAACAATAACAGTATTTTTGAACTATATAGATTTGAACTACAGATTTTTTAACTAAGATATTCACTGAGCATACTGTTTAGACTGATAAAGATCATATCCATTTTTCTTCATCTCCTTAAGCTAAAAAACTGGATTTTTGTTGTTTTTTGTATTCTAGAAGATGATTCTGGGTTCTAAGAAGACACAAAGACAAGGTATGTATTTTAGAAGTGCACATAAGCTTTTGTAAATCAAACCATGTCTTCAAGAAACATTTCCAAAAAATGAGAAATCCTTTGTCATGTGGGAATTATTTCTGAAAGTCCATTCATTAAATAGGATTTTTTTAACTTGAATTTTTCTAAATATGAAGTACATATACAATAGTTTTAATTGTTAACTGTGGAACAAAATACAATATGTAAAAATTCTGATGCTTTGTTCCATCATGAACCTAATACTTTTCTCTTTGAAGAGCTAGCCTGACGTCCTCTGTGTCTACATTACAGCTGCCTTAGATGGAATAGTGTGACATGATTTCAGTGTTAAGGCACCCATGAAATCATTACTATTTCCTGTGGATTTGAGATAAGCTGAGAACTTTGATAAATATTGATATTTTTCTTTCTGAAATAGGTTTTGTTTAAATGCTGAATGTGATCTATTGTTCTGGCAGGAATATTCACTATACTGCAAGTGAGGGGACAAGTAGAAGAAACAGAGAAATAATTAATCTGATATAATGGAAAGGGCCCTGTCCTGATTTTCTGGACCTGGATCTACCCAAGTACTCTTGGAGAGCCTTTTTACTTTATGTACAATATTTCAGTTAGGCTAGATAGTATACTAAATCTTTGTATAATTAAAACTATTATTCTATAACACTACAATTTTACTGCAGATAATAGCCAAAGAGATTTATTCTTAATAATATTCATTTTCAGGCTTTTTAAACAAGACCACTGGGCTCATCAAAACCAAAGCAGAGATCTGTAACTGCAGGAAGTTGTAGTAGTTTGTGGTTATGGTATTAAGTATCCTGATCAAGGTTTAAATATGATTTAAAACACTCAGTTATCCAAGACCAATTTTTAAACACATCAAAAAAATCAAAGACACAATTCCCAATTAGTAACAAATGTATAAATCACAAAGCCATTCAACCATTCCTCATTCAATTGTTTGTTTGTTTGTTTAAGCATATGTGTTATATGCCAAATGCTATTCTAAGTTTGGTTGAAATAGTAATAAACAAGAGGGAGAAAGTTCCTGCCATGCAAGAGCTTACATTCTGTAAAGAGAGACACACCAAATAAGTGAACAGATTGATTTCTGCCTGGTTACATGTTGTGAAGGAAATAAACAGGTGATAAAGACTTTAACCAGAGAGGTCCACCCTACTTTCATAAATTGGAGGAAGATGACTCTCACTGAGCAAATGCTGTTTGAGCTAAAAGCTGGAAGAGAAGGAGGAGGCAAGCATATAGAGAAAAGGGAGAGGAGGAGAGCACACTGCAGGCAAAGGACATTATCTGCAGAGGCCCCAAAACTTGGTGTTTAAGAACAGAAAAGAAGGCAGTAGCTCTGGGAGCAGAGACTGGGCTGTGGAGTCTAAAATATAGCTGGAGAGGTAGACAGGAGGCAATTCACATGCAAGCTCTGGAAAACAGTCTGGATTAGAGCCAATGGATTTGTTACATTGTTCATTCTGCATAGCACAGATCAGAGGTATAGTGATTACAAATATGTTTGGATCAAAGAGGTTTAGGTTCAGTTCCTGGTTTTGGTGCTTACCTGCTATGTTCCCTTGGGGACATTATTTAATCTCTCTAAAAAGGATGAATAATACTTAATTTACAGAGGTGTTGTACGGATTAAGTAAAGTAGTTTAAGTCAGCATATTATCCTGGCATCTGCCAAGCAGGGAGCACAGACATTTCATAATACCACACACTTCTGGAAAGGCAAATCACTTCTCAATGTGAAAGTAATATCCATTATCTCTTCTTACCAAACTTCAAGATTTCAGTATCTGCTTCTTCAATTATAGTTGTTGAATATTTGAATAGGTACTTAGGCAGAGATTTATAGTAATAATATAGGTTTTTCAACATTACATTTAAGTATCACTGGATTGTAGTTTAAAAGCCATTTTAAACAACAATACCAGCTGCTTCCACCTGAAGGAGCTTCACCTAATTTTCCACAAAAGTATCTATGATGACAAATCCTAAACCATATAACAATGGGAAACTAAGATTATGGATTCTCCATCCTTCTTTTTGGCTTTATTTTTCTCCACAGGACCCTTACTTCTAACATCTAGTGTATTTTATTTGGGTATTGTTTATGTATTGCCCGTATCCCATCTACCCCTCCCAACACACACACACACACACACACACACACACACACACACACACACACACACACACACACA